GTCTATGTATTTTGTAACTTTCAGTATTATTCAGGAAGCATAATTAAATTAAAATAGATGCCTATTGTTGTTAGCAGTTTGATGAAGGAGAGCTCTGCTCACACTTTTAAGTATTTAACCTCAGACGTAGCTGCGCACTTAGATACTAACGTGGAGTAGTGTGAAGGTTACTCCAGTTCCTTGTTCAGCTTTGCTCCTGGGTGCTGCTGTGGCCTGTGTAGGGTCTTTGCAGCTGTATGAGTTTCACTTTTGTTGCTTTGAAACAGTTGTTACAAGGCTGGAAAGTTGGAAAGTTCTGCATATGTTAATACTGTGTTGGGTGTGCAGTTTCATGACGGTACTGCAAACATGTTGTCTGTAATTCCTTGTAGCATCATCACAGGTCTTGCGACATTCCTTAAAAATGCACAGAGAGGACGTACATGCTTTACTGCAATCAGAAAACAAAATATTCCATCTTTTCAAATGTCTTATTCAGCAGAACTGGAATGAAAAATAAGAATTGAAGTCTAATTTTGGATCTCTGAATTATGACTTGATGCTTCACTATCTCTACAATAATCCTCCTGCAGTGTAGAAAACTTTGTTCCTGCAAGGCCAATAAATTATAGTCCTCTGTGCTAACCAGCTAATGAGAGTTGTGACAGGCAATTTTGCCTTTTAGGCTAATAATAAGAGTTTCTTGATTTCACCACAGACCAAACAAATATACAGCAGATATCTAAGAACAAGGTAATTAAACTTTTCTCAGGAAAAGGTTTCCTTCCTCAATATTGTAAAGAAAAATAGTGATAAAAATGCTGTTTGAAGTATAATGAACATCCTATGTGTTGTTTACATTGTGGAGAGAACAATTTAAATCACTTGGGAAGGGTGGAAATGACAGGAAGTAAAACAGGTAATGGCTTACAAAATTGAGAGAGAAACTGGCTAAGTTCTGTCAGTTTTTAACTGTCTGGAAGAGTAACAGCCATCCTGAATGGATCCCTCAATTATACAGAAATGTAAATTAAGCAGCTGCTAACATGATAACAGCTAAAAGCTGCTTATAGTTAAAGCTCTCTTTATCTTTATTGCTTTGCAACACAAACAGGTTTTGTGATGACAAAATCTGATATAGGAATAAATTCCACCGTGATAAGCTGGTGTGGAAGAGCACGTCCTACTCTTTATTTGTAGTGTAGATTTTTTTTTATCTATTCTTTTGTATGACTGAAGATGATTACAGGAAAGAGAGATGGAAAAAAAACTCCAAGATGATGTATGCCTGTTTGACTAGTTTTTAAACTTATGAGATTAAGATATATTTTTTCAAAACAGGCACATTTAACTTAGAATTTACAATCTTTTTTTCTTTGATATCAAAGAAATTGTGGTTATCAATCTTCATTCGTCTTTTTATTTTCCTTGCTAAGATAATTGATGTAGCCTAAGTTGCATAAAACAGTCCTGAGCAATACTTATTATAAGGCAAGAAGCTTAATGAAATATTTGCACACTTAACAAACAGATATAACTTTTAGGATTTAACAAACCACCTGCTTAGCAACTGAAATAGAGGAATGCTGTTTTCAAAAAATCTGTGTAGTTACTCATGGCCAAGGAAACATCCTGGGTAGAGCTTGCAGAAAACCTACCTCGTTCATTCTTTCAATTTTCTTTTCTTTTTCCTGTTAAATAAATTTACCTTAGAAGTCATAAGGCTTCCAGACAAAAGAAGAAGGGTGGGGGATGGGAGAAGAAAGGGGAAAGGAGAAGAAAGAGAAAGCAGTAAAGTGAAGCATCTCAGAACAGCATCCTGGAATGCTCACATATAATATAGGAGATTCAAGGTCAAAGCTTTGTCATCTTTACCTCGTTATAATTATTAGCTAGTTAAATATGAGTTGCTGCTTCTCATATTCAGAGCTGTCTATGCTCCCCTTTTATCTAAAAGCAATGTAATGCTGTGTTAATATGGACGTGAGTCTAACTTTTACTGGCTCTACTAATGCAAGCCCTGTTAATGAAACTATAGCTAGTGCTGTTCCTGGAGCAGTTTGCCTGTACTTGTCCATGCAGATGGACATGTCTTTTGTCTTGCACATGGACGCATGCCATGCACGTGTCTTTTGTGTACTATGGAGAGGCACATGCCAAACTCAAGGAGGAAAGCAAGGAAAGGTAGCAGTCCTGTGTCATCAGCCCACATAGTTCATTCTGAGTGAGTTGCCAAAATGAGGTCCTTTGCTGTTGGTGGGACATACAGATATTTAAACTGCATATATGGAGGCTCTTTGGGCCTCTTTGTCCCAGCTTTCCACAGGCAGGACTTTAAATATTTTTTCTTCTTGTTCTGATGTTATGGGGCATTAATAAGTACTGGGGACACTTGGCTTATTAATAGAAGGTTGGGCATGTGGCTGTATTTTAAGTTACGCGTGGACTCATTTAGTGCTGGAACCCTTTAGGCTGTGCTAGTGCACATTTACTGAGGAGTAAATGCTTCAATATTTCTTCTCTGGCGTTAAAACAGAAAACACTGCTTTCCCCAATTTTCTCTCTCTCCAGAACGCAGAGTAAACAAAGTTTAAAAAAAGGTAAGCAAGCCTTTTTTCAGTATTAAATATTCAACCACCTGGTATAGGAACTAACTTGAAATACTTGTAGAAATGCCATTTGTTGACATCTGTCTGTCAGGGACTGTATAGGTACACGTATGTCTAGGCAATTTCTTTTACCTGAGAATAACATAGTGTGACAAGGAGAAGTGGGCCATACAGGAAGCTTAAGTGCCAGTGTTCTCATATTTTTAACATTGTCCCAGCCCCTTTTCTCTGGTGGGCTCCTCAAGATGCTTTCTGTGGCTGTCAGTCTTCATTTATAGCTTCTTAATGAGTTTTCACGCTTTCCAGGCCTTTGTGATAGCAAAATAACCAATCTATATGACAGATTCTGGTGAAGTCTTTGAGGTTGTTTTTTGTTCCTTGTAGAGTCAGTCAACATTCTGTAGAGAGCCAGTTTCATGAAAATGATTTTTTTCCCCTAACATATTTAATCACTGTGTATCTGCAGATAGACAAAACAATATGGTTGATTTTTAGTACTGGTGTTTGCTGATACAGTTTTACTTTTTTCTTCCACTGCCTGCTGTATATGCCTGTGAACTCTGAAAGTATGTTTTAGTCTTGCTTCTTCACGGACCTGACAGAATATTCTAATCGATTTACTCTGTGATATGTCGTTCTCTGAAATGTTATGTGTTCTTGATTGTGATCGTAGTTAAGGTTATGGATACTGTTAAGTCTCATAGCTAAATTAGTACCGCTAAACACAGCGGATAGTAACCCTTTAGTTTTGGGCTGTAGGAATTAGGGTGGTGGTTCTTCTTACAGTCCATTTAACGGTACATGAAGAAAACATCAGCTACTGTTAAGACCGGAAATATCACAGTCTTAACTGCTGGGGTTTTTATTCCAACTTTAGAAATGCAGGAGCAGACGGGCGTATCAAAATAACTTCTGCTGTATACATGCTAGTAAGGACTCTGTCCTAACGAAATAGATATGTAAGTATCTTTCAAGTGTAACATCAGATAGCAATTAAATGCAACATGTTATCTTGAAAGGGTTGGGGTTTCCGGTTAGACACAGTTACTGCCCTTTCTTTCTTGCATTTAAAACTTCTTTTCATCTTTCTTTAGTCATTGACAATGGCATAGCCTTCCCTCCTTAATTATAGGTAGAATGAGATGAGAACTGTCTAGTTATAAGCTAATGCTGTTTCAATGGCGTTCACAGTATGCATATCCGTTTCTTTGAGTTCACCTCCTCAGATGGGCAATGAGAAGACACTAGAGGAGCTTCAAGGTCTAACTAGTAATGCAAGCGAGTTGGAAAGAACCTGCAGAATTAAATTTCCAAACATATGCTCTTGACAAATTAACTGTGAAGTGGTAGATGGGGGGGTTAGGAGCCAAGAAATTAAAATTGTAATCCTAAGTATTACTAGGCATTTCTTTTGTGAATGTGAAAAAATAATGTGTTGTATGTTCCTCTCCCCCTCCCCCCCCAGTAAAATGGGAGAAGTCGTTCTTCTCGGATGGATCTGAGAGGGTTGATCTTTTTCACAGATAAAGAACATCCAGTTATCCTATTAGATCAGCAGTGCATATCCAGAAGCAACAAAGCATATTTTCACCTTTTCGTTATTGTTGTTAAATATGGTGATGATTTTGGTAGCTACCGCTGTGGACAGAAGATGTGTCCCGGTCTGCAAGAATGTGCCAATCTTAGTTAATACTATGAATGGATACTCTGTGCATGACTGTAGAATCATCAGTAGAGAACAGACAAAGCCCGAATCAGGTTTGAGGCTGGCACAAATAGGCACAAGCTCCACATAGCTCAATATCCTGAACTTCATGATGCTGAAGAAGTGAATATTTTGGCGTGGTGCTCATTACTACAGTGTCAAGGAAAATCTGTTTTCGATGATGTTGAAGTAACTTACTGCCTGTTTTTGGCATAGCGTTCCGAATGTTAGAAATCAAACCTTTTTCTCCTGTTTCAGTCAACTTTTGAAGCACAGGCTTCCTGTTTTGCCCTGCTACAAATGTTATAAGCATTTCAGAATTGACAGGTACTGCAAGTACTCTGAAATAACAAATAGATGCCTTTTTAGCTAGTGAACAATTTGACAATTGTGAGTTTCTGCCAGGAAACCTTGCTAGCTTACAATTAAGGAATTTTCTGTAACAAGAAATGGTATGTAAGCTCCAGAAGAATCTACAGAAGAAGAGTTAAAGGCATGGCCTATATTGATAATGAAGAACAGTGCTGTGGATGCTGCTCCCAGGATACTGTTTCCCAGTAGTAAAATCAAGGGATGTTATTTATATCAAGACCAGAACACCTATGTGCTGATAAGACCATAGTGCAGATAACTTGTCAGTGGAAGCCAATCACATATATCATTTCTTTTCCTTTTAGCGCACCAGGGAAACAGATTATAGCCAATATATATTCCAAACAAGGAAAAGGAAAGAGTGGGAAGCAACCTGGCATAAGATTTGTGGAGCCTGAGGTAAGTAGGATTCTGAGGCAAGGAAGTACCTCACAACACCTCATGACTCCTAAAGGGTATAAAAGACCTCTCCAAAATCTAGAGGCATGATGAGGACTCGATCACTGCTGTCTCTTATGCTCTTTGTCACGTACAGGCGATCCAGGCCAGACACACCTTGGCACTTGGGCACGTGAGCGTGAGACTGAGTGAATGAAATCTGTGAGAGAATAAGTGTGGGTGGGCAAAATCAAATTATTTAGAGATTTTAGTAAGTAAATATAATCTTCCCCTTTCATAAGAACTTGCATGGAATTTTGTTACACTTGCCTAGACTTTCATAATGCTCACTCATTTCATGCTGAAATTAAACCACTGACCAGATGGGAACAGCCTTCAGTTTGTCTACCAACGCCTTTTACGCTCATATCTGTAAACCTGATGAAAAGATTATATGTACTTGAATTAGAGAATTATGTATGTTCTCTTAAGAAACGGTGATCATCCCCCATGTTTATAAATTCCTACCTTCATAAGAAGGTTGTCTTTACAATCTTTATCAAGTTCGTCTCTTTAGTGATGATGTAACTTGTGTTATCATAAATATGTCAGTTCTTTATGAGTGCACTGGTCAGGAAACAAGCTTTGATCACTTTTCTTTGAGGTGGAATCAGATGTGGCTAAAACTCTGGCTGACAGCCTCCTGGCTGAAATAAATGTTCTTGGCACCCGTTGGCCTATGCAAACTTGTAGCCAAAGGAGGTGATCTAATAGTGGCTCAAAAAGTAGTTTTTACAAATAAGCACTACAGATTTCATCAGCCAAAAGCAGGAGCTGTGCGAAGTGAAGGGTAAAAGGAAAAAGCCTAATACTCATTTTATGTGAATGCTTGCATTTTTTTACAGACATAACTGAATTTCTGGAGGTGGAGGAGACAGCCAGCTTGAGCGTTATGTTGCCTTTTCCTACTAGAGCTTTTTGTCCTGCCATTGCAGACAATGCTCTAAAGAAAGGTTGAGGCAAGGAAGAAGATTTAAGGTTTTTAGTTTCTTTATTGGTTGAGGAGGAGTCCTCCTCAGCCTGTTTGCTGAGTCAGGTAGTGGTGGTGGTGTCCAGCTCACAGAATCCACATTGTGTGCTGAAGCTTCTCTGGTGTTCTCTAAATTGGATGGTGTTTTCTGGAATTTTTATACTGTTTTTAATTTCTGTTTTACGGTTTTCCTCGAAGTTTAGCATGCTAAGCTTGAACGTCTTGAGGTAAGGCAGAATGTCAGTTTGTGAACTGAGAGGCAGATGATATTTATATTTGAAATAGCACATACTTCCCTGACTTCACCCATTTCCTCTTTACCAAACTCAGAACTTCATTCTGTGTCTCATAACTTGCATCCAAAAAGTTGCCTGTTTTAATATAAACAAACTGACGGTAGAACTTGGACTCTCATGGCTCCTATTACAGGTTATTCACAACAGTTTTTAGTATTTGTTCCCCGCTGTGCTCTTCCCAAATCAGTTTTTAAGTTTAGCCATTGTTCTAGTCATGCATACAGTAATGCTTAATTTGTACTGTGTGATAGTCCATGCTGATGCATGGCTTCTGCTTCTCTTGTAGGGTTATTTTCTCTTCTGGGAAATAAAACTTCTTGATTTAGCATGTTAGTCAGGCTTTCGCACCTTCAGAACTTGCATTTAGAAGATGAAACTGGATAGCTGTGTTGGAGAGGGCCAGAAAAGGAGTACTGCAATATCTGGGCCTGCTCAGGAGCTGTTATTCTAGCTACAGAAGATTTGTGAGCAATTTATCTAGGTCTAGTAAATGAAAATTAACCCTACAAAAGCTCAGCATGAAAGAGAGTGGGAGGCTAAAAACGTAAGACTGAGCGTGACTGGCACAGGGCTATGAAATGTTTCTGGAGAAAGTGGGAGATATGATGTTTGTAGCACTTTAAAGTCTGCAGCATATCATCACCCGCTGAGGCATACCTAGCTGTAAACCTAGGGATTGAAATTGGTCAAAGTTATTGACAGGGTTATGAAGCCTCAGGAGGAAACAGGCTAAAATGACTTACAGTTTTGAGAAGTGTTGTGTGAAACCAGACCCTTAAAATGTAAAGAATAAATAAAGAACAGGTCAGTGGGGAAGGAAGAAGATAAGACAATTACTGGGTAGCCTGTATTATTAATAGGTAGTTCTGTACTTCAATAGAAAGCTGGACACACCGGGGAATTTTACTATATCTATATAATTACATTCCCAATAATAGCGCCTAATATTAGGAGTTCAAACAATAGCTCAGAGGCCTCAAGTAAACAGTCTGGATTAGGCAAGCTGGCTGGTAAGGTGTGAACTACGGATACTAGCCTAACTCAAGGCACTGAGTATAAGAAAGAGCTGTCAGCTAATGTGTTCTTTGTATCTTAAAGGAACCTCCTCTTAAACTTGGAGGTTCCTTCTCTGGATGCAGAATTAAGGATAATATCAAAGAAGTGGGTCTTGCTGTGTGTTGGATCATCATTTCAAAAACTGTAGTTGGATACCTGAAGGATGTTACCACAAAGGCATCTTAAAACTCGAGTTTTCTGTAAGTTGTGCGCTGTGATTATTGTGTTATGGTCAGAAACTGATTCTTTTTTCTTCCTAAAGGTGCTTTGTAAGTTGTTAAACCATATCAGAGCAATGTTTTATATGTAATTTGACTTGTAATCTGGTTTTAATCAGCTAGATAAGAGCTTTCAGTCTTGCTTAATTACTATGTTTAAGTTTTAAGCATATCCTGTGTTATAAAGAGAAAGTAGATTCAGGTGACACTGAGTCACTCTGTGCCTTTATTCCTAAGGAACGCAAATGAATCTGAACATACAGGCTTCCTAGGGGGACCAGAATCCTTAGCTGTGAGTAGGGAAGCTTGGGAGTGCTGGAAACTGTTTGGCCGTATTTTTTTGGCCATTTCTGCCCCCAGAATGTGGCATTGTCATTGTCCAGTTCTGTCTTTTCTCAAGAGCTGTGTATCAGGATTTTACTTCAAACTGAACAAGAAGCAGGAAGTATATTTTGACTGAAAGAAGACAGCAAGAAGAAGCTGTCTTTGTAGAGCTGAGACAGTTATGTCAGGAACAAGCCTGGTAAGCAAGAGCTATTTTACAACCTGGAAGAGTGCAACGAGATATATTTTGTGACTCCTCTTTGGAGATCAGGGAGGTGGGGAGGAAGAAGAGAAGCATCAGGATTAACATCCTTGTACCACTGAACTTGAACGCTCATTGTACTCTATGTGTTCAAACGTATGCAGTGAACAAATGGGAAAGACTGCGTAAGATACATAAGTTTACTGTCTAGCATTTTTTGTAGTTTTTTATAGTATTTAGAACAGTTTGTATCATATACATATTGTGTGATTTGTACATTCGTTTACTGATTAATAGACCATAACATGGTACTCTTTAAACGTGCCTGGAAGCTATTGGTTTTTTAGGCCTTGCATGTAACAGTGTAACTAATAACTCTGCAAAGTTTGTTAGTGAATGGAGGGAATCTTTGCACCTCTTTAAAGAGCTAAGCAGAACTGTAGGAGGAGTAGAAGGAGAAATAGCAACATGTCTTATCGGTTCAGTAGTTCCCTACAGGTTGACCAGAAAAAACCTACATGCGTAAATTGAGGAGCTTTAATCAAAACAAAACAAAACAAAAAACTCTTCATTAAACTACCTGGATAACAATATTGGGTTGCAAACACACTTAATTTCTTCTATGATATTTTTTCCTAAATGTTTTGCCTAATAATTTTTTTTCCTTCCTTAAATCAAACCTTTCTTGGTTTATTCAGTGTTATGTACTCTTTCTGAAGTTTTGCATCTGGAACGCAGTGTGGTAATTTAACTGTATTAGTACTTTATTTGGACTTTGCATAGAGTATAGAGATGCTCTGGATTTCTTAACTGCTCATAGATATGCTGAGGGAGAGGGCAACTGAATCAGCGTGCATGGAATAACAAGAGAATTAACACCTTCTTTCATGCTGGCAAGAGTGGTGTCTCAGGCTAAACGGTTGTCTTTTAACTTGCCTGTACAGCTAAGCGGTGTGTTATAAACATTGACCATTCACTTAAACCTAGGTCCAGAGCTGTTTCATGAAAAAGCCAACAGAAATGAAAGGTCACACAAAACTTAATGATTTTTTTAAAACTCCTTGAGAAGATTTTCTCAAAAGTAGGGTATTTCCTGTTGATTTGCCTGATCAAAGTAACAGCATTTCTATCACCTTTAAGCGAATGTATAGTTATACTTCTGTTCATAATGTTTATATAAATATAGCCCTTCCAAGCAGAATGTGGCTTATGGAAACAATGCAACCTATACAAATGGTGTGTTTGATTTCTTATGAAATATGTCTAATCAGGTCAAAATTTTGATCAACCTGAATCAATTTAGTAACAGCCGACCATGATTTTCCTGCCTGTTTCTTAGCAACAGGAAACTTTTCTGCAGAATGACTATTTAATATCCTAATCCATTCTAGAAGCTCTTATACCTAAAGAGGAACAGATGGTCTAAGGATATTTCGTTTGTAGCAGCAGAGATAGGGGATATCTGTGGAATTTTTTCTGTTGTTGTTCTCCTCATTTTATACCCTACTGCCCTGCACTTACAATTATACAGCATCTTAATGATGGTAGCTAAAAACTTCTGTCAAGAATAGAGAATAAAAATAGCTTTCTGAGTAAGTGAAGAAAGTTACCTTAGTATTACCTTAGTGTTTTGTTCTAAGTTACCTTAGTATTACCTGGGAGTGTTTTGTTCATTGGGCATTTGCTTGCTCTCTTGCTCTCAAAATCTATCATATGAAGCGATTTTCTTCTTTATTGTGAATGCATAAGGTTCTTTATGTTTCAGTAGGGATAATTTTTCTTAAGGGTTATTTTTATGTGACTTGCTCTTCATAGAAGATGTAAGATAAGTTATTCAGGGTACTGAAGCGTGGAGCTCTGAAACAGGATGTTGTGACTGTTTTATTATGGGTCCA